TATTGGGGAAATCTGTTGGAATAACTCAGTAATCTAAACTATTTAACTTTTACTGAAAAAGTTTTATTAAGCTGACGATTCAGGACAAAAAATTACTGGAACTGAAAATACTTAGGCATTAGCTGACGTCACACGCATAACCTCATTTCCGATGGAGGGAGGAGGGGCAAACAAAGCGTTTAATAATTATTCACATCGCTGAAAACTGTGGCACTGATGATAAAAAAAACGTCACTGCGCCGAACACACAAAGCGCCGGACTTGTCTGAACAGGTGACAGGTTCATTTATTAAGAAATATCGTTTGTTTGTCCCATTGTGATAGGTTCGTCACATGTTCGTCTCCCTATCTAAAGTGACGTTATGTGATTTGTGACGTAATAGCTAGCGCCTGTGTGTACAAATAGTCCTTCAAACGCTTTGTTTGTCCCCATATCGAAAATGAGGTCAGCTAGTACCTAGTTGACGTTTCAAGAAACTGCTTCACCGTGTAAACTCGCCCTTATTTTATCAAATCGCAAAGGATATGACTCTTAGCCGAGATTTAAGCCCACTTCTCTTCTGTATATACCAACTACCGAGTAGAATCCTTCCCTACCCTGCTATTGCTTCAAACTTGAGATTTTAACTGACTTCAGGCTTGTATTTCTTTTTCCTTTCCTTTCACCGTATTTGAGTATGCTATGCGTAAGGGCGAATTAGAAGAACTGGAAATCTTCAATCGTAATTTCCGCAAGAAATTCAACTGCATACTAGGAGAAATGCTGAAGGACGTTTGCATTTGTACAATACGGACTATGGACTGAGTTTAGATTTTTTTTCCTGGAAATCTGGGATAGTTTGGAGAATGAAGAATTTTTTTATATATCCAGAAGCCTTTTAGCTTTACCATACCAAATTTTGGTTGGAAAAAAACCAGATAGCGGAGTTACGGTTCTTTAATACCAGAGAGATACTAAGTAATATCTTAACAATAGAGACTATGGCCTAATTTTAGATTTTTTTCCTGGAAATCTGGGAAACTTTGGAAAATTAAGATTTTTTTCATATATCCAAAAGTCTTTTAGATTTAACATACCAAAATTTGATTGGAAAAAAATCAAAGATAGCGCAGTTACGATTTTTTAATCCCAGAGAGACACTAAGTCATTTTTTTACAATACAGACTATAGCCTGATTTTAGATTTTTTTCCTGGAAATCTGGGAAACTTTGGAAAATGATATATTTTTTTATATCTTCAGAAGCCTTCCAGCTTTAACATACCAAAATTTGATTGGAAAAAAACCAAAGATAGCGGAGTTCCGATTTTTTAATCCCAGAGAGATACTAAGTGATATCTTTACAATACAGACTATGGCCTGATTTTAGATTTTTTTTCCTGGAAATCTGGGAAACTTTGGAAAATGATTTTTTTTTATATATATCTAGAATTTTTTCAGCTTTAACATACCAAAATTTGATTGGAAAGAAACCAAAGATAGCGGAGTTACGATTTTTTAATCCCAGAAGGACACCAAGTGATATTTTTACAATATGGCCTGATTTTAGATTTTTTTCCTGGAAATCTGGGAAACTTTGGAAAATGGAGAATTTTTTATATATCCAGAAGTTTTTAGCTTTAACATATCAAAATTTGATTGGAAAAAAACCAAAGATAGCGGAGTTACGATTTTTCAATCCCAGAAGGACACTAGGTGATTTCTTTATAATACAGACTATGACCTGATTTTAGATTTTTTCCCTGGAAATCTCGGAAACTTTGAAAAATGAAGAATTCGTTAATATATCCCGAAGTTTTTTATCTTTGATATACCAAAATTTGATTGGAAAAAAACCAAAGATAGCGGAATTACGATTTTTTAATCCCAGAAGGACATTAGTGATTTCTTTATAATACAGACTATGGCCTGATTTTAGATTTTTTTTCCTGGAAATCTGGGAAACTTTGAGAAATAAAGAATTTTTCATATATCCAGAAGTCTTTTAGCTTCAACAAACCAAAATTTGACTAGAAAAAACCAAAGATAGCGGAGTTACGATTTTTTAATCCCAGAAGGACACTAAGTAATATCTTTACAATACAGACTATGGCCTGATTTTAGATTTTTTCCCTGGAAATCTGGGAAACTTTGGAAGATGACGAATTTTTTAATATATCCCAAAGTTTTTAAGCTTTAACATACCAAAATTTGATTGGAAATAAACCAAAGATAGCGGAGTTACGATTTTTTAATCCCAGAATGACACCAAGTAAAATCTTTATAATACAGACTATGTCCTGATTTAAGATTTTTTTCTTGGAAATCTGGGATACTTTGGAAAATAAGCAATTTTTTTTTATATCCAGAAGCCTTTTAGCTTTAACAAACCAAAATTTGGTTGGAAAAAAACCAAAGATAGCGGAGTTACAGTTTTTTAATCCCAGAGAGACACTTAGTGATATTTTTACATAAAGACTATGGCCTGATTTTAGAATTTCTTCCTGGAAATCTGGGAAACTTCGGAAAATGAAGAATTTTTTCATACATCCAAAAGTTTTTTAGCTTTAACATACCAAAATTTGATTGGAAAAAAACCAAAGATAGCGGAGTTACGACTTTTTAATCCCAGAAGGACACTAAGTGATATTTTTACAATATGGCCTGATTTTAGATTTTTTTCCTGGAAATCTGGGAAACTTTAGAGAATGAAGAATCTTTTTATATAACCAGAAGCCTTTTAGCTTCAAGATACCAAAATTTGATTGGGTAAAAACCAATAATAGTGGAGTTACGGTTAGTACATTCTAATCAACAAAGAGTCGGTTTGCTATTCTGCATTTATTTGTACTAAGGCATACGGTTATGTCATTTACAGATCCTAGAAGACAAGCCAAGCTCTTCTAGCTCTACCAACGTTGCTTCTAATTCCTTTCATACCATATCTGAGTGAATATGTAGAATGTAATGCGGCTCTATCAAAAAGACAAAAAGCTCCAGTTTTTATCCGACAACCGCAAAGTACATATTTAAAGAATTAAATGTACCTTAACGTTTTATCTGTTTCGAGAAATTCACCTCGAACGCAAGAATCCGTGTTTGTATACTCAGGATGGTAGCCTTTGTCCGAGAATGTGAGACAGCGTGTACTGGTGGTACCGCAGATGACCAAACCACGGACTATATCAAAAGAAGTAGCGCCGACAAGATTTCGATCTAAATGTTTCACATTAACATACAGCGGCCATAAAATATACTGAACTTGCTTAGGGTACCCAACGCGAGGGTTTTTGAGAGATATTTTTCCATCGCGATAGGGCGAAATTATATGGTTTTCACTACCCGGAGGCTTTATGTGTATGTTACGTAAAATGATTTTTTAACCTTCAATGTGTACTTAATTATACGAACAAACTTGAGGAGTTTGTCAGGTAGGTAATTAACAGATAATAAATCTCATCGTTTGTATTCAACAATAATTCGCTTCATAAAGGCAAAAATCTGGAAAACTAAAACTTTTCCATGGAGCACCGAGATTTGTACGATTTAATAAGCGGAAAGAGCGCGGGAGCCTAAGATAATTTGCTGTGACAGCAAAGAGAAAATTTCATATATGAGAGAGGCGAAATAGAATTTTGTTAGGATTTGTATAACACCAGTACAACGAGAAGCGTCTGGCTTTTTAATAAATAAATAAAGAAGAGTTTTCAGTCAAATGAACTTAAGTTGACAAGTTGAAACTGACAGATTGTGTAAAATTCTATGCAAACCATTTTTGCCTTGAAATCTGCATTGAATTCAAAAGATCTTCCAGATTCAGAGAAAATCATTTAAAACGGTATTCACCCAAACATGAAATCATTATTAAGGTTTTAAGCATAGACAAAGCCTATATCTGGCAATTAAAACAATAAACGAAAAGTTAAACGGAGATCGGCCAGATTAAAACGATAGCGGGAATGAAAGGCAAAAGAGGTCAACTGAACCGAATCGGCTTGAGGTTTTGGGTAGAAATTTTCCGGGGACTGAAATGTGCAAAAGAAAACCGACGGCTTAATTACACGACCGTTTAACGCAGGCTCTTTGAAATTAATTTGCATGGAAGATATATTTTTTTCGTTTCCTTATCCCGACCAAAGTGTCTTGTTTCTCTTTCTGGAACGTAATTACGACAGGTTTTGTATCAATCAGGCCTTAAGAGGAACTATATTTTGGAGGATTAATTCTGGCTTCAAGACAGAGTGGTTCTTTAGAAGGAGGACATTGAAAAATTTAGTAAAGTATTTTAAATTGTATAATTATTTTCTTTATATTTATAAGGAAGTGTGGCCACTTCAGCCAGCACTAGGACTGGAAATGCACGTGTAGCAACATTATGCAGAAGAAAAGTGCAATTTTTCAAACTGTTAGTGCAAAAAACCAGTCTGTACATCTTTATCTTATCCGGAAGTTGAAGCGAGAGGAAACCTACTGGACTTTATCAGTGACATTTTAGAGGACCAGTAGTTTTATGTTGGAATCGGAGGCATTTGAAGTACCTACATGAGAATGACCAAAACCAAACATGATCCTTTCAAGTGCCAGGGATCTATTCTGGGATTTCTCTTGCTGCTATGATCGTCTTAGTCTTATAACAATCTCCTGGTCAAACAAATAGAATGATGATTGATTATTGTTCAATTGCTCTCAACAACCTAAAAATTCTGCTCTTGACTCAAACTTAACGAAGTATCCTCAAATCTAGTTAGAATAATTCATCATCAAAAACCCTCTAATCGTTCATTATAGTTCCGAAACATATTCTCTCACTAATGTAACGGCCCCTAATGAAAAGACACTTTTCGGGAAAAATACTTATCTCCAATTTTATTAGAGACCGTATAAAATTTTACGAGCACGGCCCATTAGTGCCTTTATGTTTGGTGAACATTAAGTTAAGGTAAAACGATCATTTTTCCCCATATAATGAACACCTATCTGAGACATCTTTATCGTACACTTATTTTCAAGAATGTTTCTTACCTGGAAGTATACTTGTCCGTGATCGACCCAGCCGACGACCATATCCGAACCAGCCATTCTACCATCCTTAGAAAATCCAAATCCGACGTATCCTAAAGTTTTCACTTGCAGTTCGAAAGTAATGTCCTGAGGTCCCGGTCCCAAGGACCATAACAACCGATAATCTGGACTGAGATACGTGGAATGAGACCAGCGCGCTGAACTAACGAATTTCGCGTACACTACACTTAACACTATCAAAAGCTTTTGGCAGATTTCCATGGTTGAAGCTTTTATATTAATTTGGCATAATCTGAAACAAAAACAAAAAAACGATTATTGAATTGTGCATTATTCACCCAGTAAGAAAAGCAAAGTTCATTTATTATCGCACGACCTTTTGTTCCCGTTTTCTACGAAAAAGTTCCGGGGAGAAGTTTAAAAGAAAATCTATTAATATAAATCTCCCTCGTCTGAGCATTATGGAGTTATTCTTTGATTTAAAACTATTAACTGCTCTCTAAAATGGCGAAAGAGGGCGCCCCAGCATCCATGCAAAGGAGAACGAAATTAGTTTATGGAAGGTTGCTCGGGGGCAAATGAATGTAAATTAAATGCGCTCTCCTTCAAAAGGCTATTTGCCTGGACGAATTTAATTATACAGGCTATTTATTGGGAAATTTGTAATGACGTTGTTCCAGGAAGGGAAGGTGGGGAAAATGGTTGTAATTGTTCTAAAATGAATTTTGTTTGATTTGAGCTGGGAGACATCACATTTTGTTCTACTATTACCGGGAACATCTGGGTATTTATTTAGATCGACATTCGTTATGGACTTTTCTAGTGTTTTAATTTGAGTTTAATTAAAATTAATAGTTTCTTCATGGTGGCTTTTTTCAAGCTGTCCACCTGTCGGTGGATTTTTTTCGTTTAAAATTTTTCTGACAAGTATTACACTCAAAATTATTAAGTTTTTAACTCTCCTCTCCGTTTCAATGTGTCTTGCCAATGTCATATTCTCGCACAAAAAATCAACGAAATACCTACTCATTTGTTTGTCCACTCGCTCCTTTTCGAATTCGTGCGGAAATATGTGGCCTTCTTGTATTTCAATATGCTAATATATTAGTCAGCAAGTTTCAACACCACCTCTAACACAAGAGTCCATAGTGAGGAAAACTGCAAACAACTTGAATCACCAGCATTTATAGGGAGACGTTGATGAGATCAACAGAAACAACAACAAAGAACAGAGAAGATCTAAAAGAGAGTCCTGGAGGAGATGACCGATGTTCCTCAATTAATGCGCCTCCAGAGAGAATCCTATCAAAATATTGTCACAACCCCTATAAGTTTCGTCCTGGGACGTCACAACAGGAGTGAGACCTGGGGGCGTAGGTGGGGTTCAGGTAGAGAGAAACTCGCTTGGTATAGGTATAATAAGATAATGTATTGAATAATAATAATATTACCCTAGAAATAGTATCACGACACTCTGTACACTTGGCGTGACTGAAGACTGAAGCTGGGTTTGAGACAGGTCCAGAAGGGTGTTTCCCAATGAAGGTATTTTGCACTGGACCTGCTGTCTTCAATGCTCCCAGAAGAAGCAAGGTTTGAGACAGGTCCAGAAGGGCGTTTCCCATTAAAGGTAGTTTACACTGGACCTAGTCTGCTGCGTTCAATAATCCCAGAAAGGCGTTTTCCATTAAAGGTAGTTTGCACTGGGAGGAGACTTAGCTAGAGGGGCTTTTCCCATTTGGGGTACTTTGCACTAGCCTTAGTCTGCCGGTAATGGATTTCGGCGCGGTATTTATACCAAATAAATGCTGACTCATTGACACACTTTAGTAAAATTGATGTACAGAGTGGTATTTACTTAAGTAGTTGACAATATCAATCAAATAATTTGTTTTCTTGAAGCAAATGATTGTCGATAATGATTCAAATTTGGTCGATGTTTATTAAGAGGAAGAAATTAATAGTCTGGGAGACGACCGCATTTTTCCTACCCCGATCGAGTTATGTGTCGACACTATTATCAATATATAGTATTATGTGCATCTATTAACCTGTATTCCTGCCTGAGAGCAAATGCTGCCGAAAATATCTTTTAACAAATTATTAACAAATTGAAAAAAACGTAACACTACCTAAACTAAAGGTCTTGATGTCCCCTATCTAAAAAGTCGATCCTGCCTCCTGAGAACTTGCCGGAAAAGGGTGGCAGGACAGCTTATTGAGGTTATACAACTCACTGTACATTATTCCCATATGACACGACAGGATTAACAAGTGATAATCCTTCCCATATGACACGAGAGGCTTAATAAGTGATAATCCTTTTGCACGGTAACTGGTGTTTTGACATTTTTTGACAAAAAATTTAAATTTTTGATTCGTGAAATTATTAATTAATAAAGAATTGAAGTTTAGTTCGTTGTATAACCTTTTGAATACCACTAGATGTTTCAGGATTACCTAATACTTTTCCCTGACACTCAACGCGTTACCAGCAACACCACTCCTCCTTCGGAGTCGTGGTGTTGCTGCGTAACGCGTTTCGTGACAGGTAAAAGTATTATCCGGTAATCCTGAAACCTCTTGTGGTATTACATTCGACAAGGGCCCGCGGTCTCTGCTTTGACACCTATCAAGCTTTGCACTAAATGATGTGTCAAATTAAAGGTGTCAATAAGTTGATTTAAGGTCTGTTCGCACAGAAATCACAAACCAGTCAGAGCGAATTTCATTGGTTGGAAACAGTCAGGAAACTAGTTTCAACCAATGAAATTCACTCCTTCTGGTTTGGGATTTCTGTGCGAAAAGACCTTAAATCAACTTATTAATACCTTTAATTTGACACATCATTCAGGGTAAAACTTGATAGGTGTCAAAGCTGAGACCGCGGGCCCTTGCCCCAATAAGCTGCCCTGCCACCCTTTTCCGGCAAGTTCTCACGAGGCAGGATCGACTTTTCAGATAGGGGACATCGAGACCTTCAATCTGATACCCTACTTAGGGCATAACTCGATGGGGGTAGAGTTACGTTTTTTTCAATTTGTTAATAATTTGTTAAAAGATATTTCCGGCAGCATTTGCTCTCAGGCAGGAATACAGGTTAATAGATGCACATAATACTATATATTGATAATAGTATCGACACATAACTCGATCGGGGTAGGAAAAATGCGGTCGTCTCCCTAACTATAATGTTTATACACGATACGAAAACTTGCAGGGACGAAAGTATTTTTGAAAAATATTTCGTACGCCCATGGTTTACGAGGCTTCGACCATTATAGACCCAAAATGGGCGGAGTCAATAATTCCATAGACGTACCGTTTTTAAATTATCATTGCTAAAATCTAAATCGACATCAATTAACAGCGTTACCCTTTTAAAGAAATGGTTCTCTCTATTACAGGCTCTTGAATTATCTTTGAACACATTTAGAAGAGATTCAAGAAACGAAAATTTGAGACAAGTGCAGAACAAATGTCTTTTCATCTCTTTCTTATACAAGCTGGTAGAAAAAGAAACGAAAACACTCAGTGCGCATTAACCCTTCCAATAGAATTCGCTATTAGTAGGCTTTGGAAATATCTATTGCCATGTCGGTATTACAGATGTCTTGTTTGGGTGCCGAATTCAAACTTTGAAATTTTCCAAAGCCTACTTTGTCGCTTGTCAAACTGCCGCGTTGTTACATCGACATCAATTAACAGCGTTGCCAACTTAAAGAAATGTTTTTATTACAGGCTCTTGAATTATCTTTGTTTGAACACAGAGGACATTCAAGAGACAATAATTGAGACAAGTGCAGAACAAATGTCTTTTTATCTCTTTCCTATACAAGCTGGTGGAAAAAGACACGAATACACTCAGTGCGCACTAACCCTTCCAATAGAATAAACTATCAGTGGACTTTGGAAATATCTATTGCCTTGTCGGTATTACAGATGTCTTGTTTGGGCGCCGAATTCAAACTTTAAAATTTTCCAAGGCCTACTATGTCGCTTGTCAAACTGCCGTGTTGCTACATCGACATCAATTAACAGCGTTGCCAACTTAAAGAAATGTTTCTTTTTATTACAAGCTCTTGAATTATCTTTGTTTGAACATATTTAGAGAAGATTCAAGGGACAAAAATTGAGACAAGTGCAGAACAAATGTCTTTCTATCTCCTTCTTATACAAGCTGGTAGAAAAAGACACGAATACACTCAGTGCACACTAACCCTTCCAATAGAATTCGCTATTAGTAGGCTTTGGAAATATCTATTGCCATGTCGGTATTACAGATGTCTTGTTTGGGCGCCAAATTCAAACTTTGAAATTTTCCAAAGCCTACTTTGTCGCCTGTCAAATTGCCGTGTTGCTACATTGATATCGATTAACAGCGTTGCCAACTTTGTGTGAAGTATCTATGAGCCTTTTCCTTTAGTATCTCTAAGTCTCATTTTGTAGAAGGCATAGTAATATTTGCACCACATGCAAAATCTACAGCTAAGAGAAGTTTAGAAACAGTCTTGATTTCAAAAAAGATATTGTAGGGTGTCATGTTTTCTAGACTCACATCGGGAAGCTTGAAACGTGTTGAAGTCATGAGCGTATAATTCCCTTAGAGTCCAAAACTGATGGAATCATTCTACTGATACCTCTGTTTGCTGGTCTTAGTGCTCTAGGTACTCTCGCGGGAGGTGCATCTACAATAGCAAAAATTATTATACAAGCCCGAAATGCACGACAAAAAATTACAAAAAAAAAGATCATTCGAGAACTATGGAGGATATTGGGAGAAAAGGTGCGGGATTTTACTTGAGAAAAACTCCACAATAGATTTATTTACGAGTAGGGAAGTTTTTTAGAATGACTACAGATGGAATGTGAATGAATTCCAAAAAATGGAAAGTTAGCTCGAGGCATCTACAGACTAACGCCTGAACTGAAGACAAATTACTGTGAAGTATTTATGAGCTTTTTCCTGGTATAGGCATAGGATTATTTGCACCATATGCAGAATCTACAGTAGGAGAAGTTTAGAAAAAGTCTTCAGAAGAGATGTTGTAAGGTGTAGATAATTTCCTTCCGAGTCCAAAACTGGTAGAATCATTCCACTGATACCTCGGTTTGCTGGTCTTAGTGCCTTGGGCAGTATCGCTGGAGGTGCATCTGCAATATTGTTATAGAAAACACTTGAATCCCCGAAGTTACTAATAATCCATTTTGTAGCTTTGTGTTTCTTTCATCGACAGTTTAGTTTTTCTATAGGACAAATTCTAATTTAAACAAGCTTAAAAGCTTAAAATT